GAGGGTGGCCGCGAGCTCCCGCGGCTCCGCCTGAGTCCGGGGGCCGCGAGTGGGGGCCGGCCGCCGCCCAGTGACTCCAGGCGGACTGAGCATGCTCCAGGCCACTGTCAACGCTGTAGACGCTTTCTCTGTGGCTCGGGGCGCTCCACTTCGGATTTTAGTTTTGACCCTGAGAGAAAGACACAAGTCTGGTAGAACTGTTGCTCCAGATCAGTTGGAACACGCTTTACCCGAAGTACTTTGGCACCTAACCTAGGAGCCAGGTGTTTGGTAGCTCTGTTTAGATACCGCAGGGCGTGGTGCAACCTAGGCATGAGGAAAGCCATGCAAAAGGCGAGGAACCTGGCCTAAGGCAGGGAGAAGAGTCTCATTGTGAGCTTGCAGGCAAAGTGCTGGGCCTTTTTTCACTGGAGGTCTTTGAGGGGGGGAGGGCAGAGAGGCGGGAGGGGCGTGTTGCAGTGTTGGCGATTAGGCTTGCCAACCAAATCCCTCACACTAAGGGAAAAATAAAATTTACCCCCCCCCGGGGGTGGAGGCGTAGCGCAAGAACTTGAAAATAGGAAAGAATTGAAAGAAGGTCACTTATAAATGAATCACTTTTCGTTTCTCAAATTATTTAATTCTTCAAAATAGGACTTAGTTATTTGACAATACATAGTGCTAGGGATAATGGTAATACCAGTCTTGGTTTGGTTTCTTTTACCTTTATATTTCCCCGCTGTCTAGAACATGTTTTGGGGGAAGTTGGAAAGAAGAAGGGCTGGAAATGAACATTTACACTGGTTCCTCTAATGTTTTTAAAGTTGAAGTACTACTTAGAGGAAAAGAAACAATCCAGGAGGAAAAAAAGGGAGGCTTAGATTTGAGAATTCATATTCCGGCTTTTCTGTCCATTTAACTGACCCACCCCCCCTTTCCTGCTCCATAAAAGTGAAAAAGAGAAAATGTTACCTTAACCTTAGATAAAAATATAACTTCTTAGAAGCTTTTCTTGTTTGTTCTAGAAATTAAATCATTTCTAAAAAGCCAAGGCAATTTAGTTGAAGTAAGTGGAATTTTGAAGTCCAAGGGACAAAGAATCAAAATGGCAATATGGTAGTAATAATCATTATAATTACTTATTTATCAAGTGCTTATCATTGTCAGGCACTGTTCTAAAATACTTATATGGATTTTCTCAATTAATACAGTAGCCGTATGAGATTTGTTGACTGGAAAAAATGCACAACGTGAGAGCTGTGAGCTGTCTTATTTGGGGCAAAATGAAGTCTACAGCCCAGGAAACAGCGTTTCAGAAAGCTCGGAGAAAGCACTCCGAAGAGGCAGGGGGGAAGGTCAGTATATATGTGATTTTGGTGAAGGCGGGGTACATGCAATCAAGCACACATTTTTGCAGAAGGTTTCTGCTAGTCATGAAGAGCAGACGTCACCGTAAAAGACTTTAGTGCTTTTCTAGATACGAGGAGATGCAAAAATCAGGCTCATAAAATCTTCTCCTGAAAATATCTATCTGAAGGCCTGTTCTGCGTTTTTCCCAGAGCACAGAGTGCCTCATTCCTGATCTCCACCCTGAACTCCTTTCAGGGGGTGTTGAAGGTCAGCAGCTGCAGCAAGCAGCTCATGATTCAGTCTTGTAGAGGTAGGTGGCAAGTGACCATTTGTAGCTGGCATATTATTCACATTTTACAAATTTGGAAACAAATTAAGTATTTGGCTGAATTCACATTGCCTTACTTCTGCCACAGCTAGTCTGTAGGCTTGAATTTTAGTTTCTGCAGTTACAAAATAGTAATAATATCAACTTTTTATTGCTGTCAGAAGATTTAGGTGAAATGATATATGTGAAGTTGATGGTAGATAATATGAGATGAATAAATGGTGGCCATTATTAGTAACATCAGAAAGTTTGGTAGACGGTATTACAGAGAGAGGGGTAGTTTGGAAACTAAGGAACTAAGACAGAAACTCCAGGAAGAACTTTAGACTTATTTTAAGGAAGAAATCTGTAAATTGACACTTGTATAAGATCTAATAGACTTTTGATAATGATGGAATGTCTAGCAGTGACTATAAATGCTTCATTTTCATTACAAAAGAGTATGTTAAATTTTAAAAAGAAACAACATTAAGATACACACTTCAAAGTCATGTTCTTGAGTGTTTGCTACTGACATTTTTCCCATTCATACATCATTTTTATTTTACTTCAAAGAAGAGAAAGAAGGAGAAAGACCATATATTTCCTGAATTTTGACCCTACTCTCCCTTTTCCTTCTCTTTGATTTTTCTTTTTTGTCCTATATTTCTTTTTCATCCTGTATTTTTCACAGCCTCATATTCTTGGCCTATTTAACCTATTTACAAACTCCTAAACATCACTACCCATAGTATTATATCAGAACTGTAGCAAGTTGTCTTTTTAAGTCTTGTTTTTCCAACAATTTAAACTCTGGATCCAATTTATCTACTGCCCCAGTATTAGTATTTGGGTGTTCATTTCTAAATTGCCTTGTTGCTATGGCTAGGCATGCTATGTAAATATTTGCTTGGCTTAGAAAGGAATCTGAAAAGAGAATTAGGTGGGAATAAATCCAGTCAATTTCTCCTATGACTTGCAGTCTTAATATTCTTCAGAAATTGAGGGAAAAAATACAGTTTAGGGGGAAAGCAAATCATATGATCAGAACTTGAAATTTTTATGGTAAAATTTCTGCCTTGATTTCTACTCATAGATGAAATAACAATGGGAGAAACAAAAGATAGCAATATACTAAATATTCCAGCAACTCTTATTCCGTAAATAAGTGAACTAGTGAATATATACATAACATACAAATTAATAAAGCCCAAACTCATATTACACACCCACAGCCTCATTTCCAGTTTCTCTGCCCCTTCATTCCTCAGCCATGCCATGTCTTTTCTCATTCCCCACCCTCTTTTCTGTATTAAACGTGTCCTTCAAGGCCCAGCATAAATGTCATCACCTCTGTAGCATTTCAAAGATTCCTTCAATAAGAATTAATTCCCATGTTCCTATAGTACATGGTGTATGCCTCTATTTGGGGGATCTTATTCTGCTTCACAGTATGGCAATATTGTAATTTTTTTGTCTCCCCTATCTTTTAGGCTGTTGGAGGGTAGCAGTGACATTTTACTCCAGCATCCAGCACAAATTCCTGTAGATAGAAGGTAATCAATAATGTTTGCCCAAGGGAGGAAAGAGATGACCGTGTGCGTTTTTTGCAACAGATATGTAGTAGAGGCTGTTGGCACTAATAGTATCCATGATCTGCATGTCACTACGTTTCCTGGCTTGTCTTACAGTTATATTGGGGCCATGTGACAAGTTCTAACTAATAGAGTAGGAATGAAAGCAACTTACGTTATTTCTGGCTGAAGGGCGTTAAGAACCAGTAATTCTCCTTTATCCCCACCTTTCCCTGCTCTAATAGCCTCATGTTTCATATGGAGTCACTCTAACATGGAGTCACTAAAAGATAAAGAAAGGCTGCTTGTCTTGCACTGGACTCTGTGTGAGCAAGAAACCGTTATTGTGTTTAGCCACTGAGATTTCAGAATTTGTTTGTCATGAGAACATAGCCTAGCCTATTCTGACCAATACAAGATGTTATTTAATAAGGTTATAAATCATAATGGCATAACAACCCAATGAAACATTGAGCTTACGAGAATGCTCTAATGTGTTCTTAAGTCAAGGCTAAAAATACATATCCTCACAACCCCAACTTAACATATAACAGCCTTTTCTTGGCAAGACTCTGTGAGACCAAAGCAGGGGTATGTGTGTGTGTGTTAACTACACACAATAGATTGGTTTTAACTAAGGACAAAAGACCAAATTCCCCTCAGCCTGAGTGAAAATGAACGTGCACCTGCCATCCAGCATCTAGTGGCAGCATACTGTGACTTGTAGCTGGCTAGCAGCTGTGAATATGATTGCTCTGACCTGGTTTCATACAATATACAAAATATGAAAGACATCACTCCACTGCTTCTAGATTTATATCTTGAGTGCATCCGTATCAGCTACTTTGGAAATCTCTTCTATGGAAGCCTCCCATAGAATTGAGGAGAATGCAAACCTAGTCTCAGTTTTCAAAGAATAAAAAAGGAAAAACAATCATGTTGGACATGGTTGTATGGGATGCCTTTCAATAACTATACAAGAGCCCAGAGAGGTCTTTTGTCAAAAGAAATGACTCTTGAGGCTCCAAAAATCTCTCCATGGATTCTGCATTTAAAGTCCTGTCCACTGGGATTTTTCTAATTTTACAATTTATTTAATGTTATCCATAAAGTAAGCTTAATGAATTCTAATTATAAACCTAATTATAGATGCCTTCATCTGAATATGTTAATTATTCTGAAGGCATATAAAATTAAAAACTTGGATTAAAAATTTTTACAATAAACTATAAACTTTCCTAGCAGGGTCTTGTAAATAATGGCTTATAAGCATTTAATATTTAATGAATTTTATCAAATAATGAATGATGAATGAATATGGTACCAAGGAACCTAGGTTTCAGTGCCTTTTCCTGTACATGTAGTCTTAGGTGGGTCTATTAACTTTAGCTTCACTTTTTAGAACTCCCTGGTACTTTCAAGCACTTCAAGGGCACAAAGACTTACAGATATTATGCATACTGTTAACAAATGAAGAAAATATTTATGTAGAGGTTTTTTTTTCTAATTAACCAAAAATAACTGTTTACTGTAAATATTTTGGAGAGTAGTTTTGATCAAGATGCATAAGAATGCGACCATAAAGTTACCTGCTTAACTTGGAACCTGGTGTAACTTGCCCTGTGCCTGGACTGTCCTTGAAGGGTTACTCATTGTTTGCATTTACATAATGCCTCATAGGTCACAAGATAGTTTCA